TTTTTAAATTTCGGTCCATATTATTTAAGTATCCTTATGTAGAACCAAGTTTCAGCTGTTTCAAATCTCTTCTTCATCCGTCAGGAGATTGTCCAGCATCCACTGCCATAGAGGAGGACTGCTATTATATAACAACTACTATATTGACTCACAAATGAATTTCAAAAACGTTCAGTATATCGCTCCTTCTATTAAAAAAAAAGCATCTTATGATTACCAGTAACAAATAGTGTCACACAGTGAGACGATTCTGAGGATTCATTATTGGCGGCCACAATCTTAACGATAGAAGATACGCAGTTGACACAGTGCTGATGACAGACACAGAAAGAAAACTAGAGGATCTCTAGCAGAAGTCAGTGAAGGAAAGCGAGAAGAAAGGACTAACGTTCAATTGTAAGACGGCACTATACCGTAGTCAAGAAAAAGAAACACCCCAACACACAAGGTTCACATAGGAGATACTAAAATCAAGCTAAGCATGATAATTTCAATATCTGGGAATTGTTGTAACAAAGAGCGGAACGTTCCGAAGGCGGATTGGGATGGTGAAACATGCCTTCCAAAAGCTAAGCAAAGTATTAAGAAACACGTCAGAATTTCGTTAGAACCAAAGAAAAGTACTGTTATGTAATATCAGTCCATTTATATAACAGTGAAGGCTGGACCATCGCCTCGCAGAGTAGTAACACAGAAAGTCGAAAATAACCTCCAGTCTGTTGTTAACTGGGGCAAGAAATGGCCCATTAATTTTCAATTCCTCCAAAACTAGACTGCACTCTTTTACTTGTCTTAAAGAGCCATTTTGCCACCCATCAACATGGCTAATGCTATCTCCCAACCCAGGAGAGTAAATAGTTACGCCTGCTTGGTCTAAACGTTTCCACTGAAACGAATTTGAACGATTTAAATAATCTAAATATCTGGGAAGTAAAAAAGATGCCTTTTGAAAGCTAAGAAAAGTATTTTAAAAAAACAGGAAAATTTCGTTAGAAGCAAAGAAAAGACTACTGAACATTGGTCCGCCGATATGTCAGTGGATGTTGGGCGATCTCCTCAGAGATGAAGAAGATACTTGAACCAACTGAAATGTGTTTATACAGGAGGATTCTGAGAATGCCGTGAAGTGATCATGTGCGTAACAACTAAGTTTTAGAGAAATGGTAATAAAGCACGCTTATACCAGAAAGAGACAGTTGAAATTCTACGGCGCATAGTGAGAAAATAGGGTTTAGAAAATTTGATATTCACAGGACGGATTGAAGATAAGAGGTACACAGGAATGCAACACCTAAGCTACCTAACGAGCTTGTTTAGGAGAGGTATCAAAAATCAAATTTTACTTAAAGCCATATGAAATTGTGGAGGGCCATGATCGTCAACGTCCTGAAGGGAGACGGAACATAGAAGAAGTAGTAATGAATAATATATTGTTACCTTTCTTCCATGGAGTTTCTTATGTAAATGGATGACAGAACAGGGTTTAAGGAAAATAGTAAAAAGACAATTAAGAGCTACAAAAGACAGGAAAGTGTGGAGAGCTATGATCGTTAATGTCCTGAAAGGAGACGGAACATAGAAGAAGTAGTAATGAATAATATATTGTTACCTTTCTTCCATGGAGTTTCTTATGTAAATGGATGACAGAACAGGGTTTAAGGAAAATAGTAAAAATACAATTAAGAGCTACAAAAGACGGGAAAGTGTGGAGAGCTATGATCGTTAATGTCCTGAAGGGAGACGGAACATAGAAGAAGTAGTAATGAATAATTTATTGTTACCTTTTTTCCATAGAGTTTCTTATGTAAATGGACGACAGAACAGGGTTAAAAAACTAGCAAAAAGACAATTAAGAGCTACAAAAGACAGGACATTGTGGAGAGCCATGATCGTTAATGTCCTGAAGGGAGACGGAACATAGAAGAAGTAGTAATGAATAATATATTGTTACCTTTCTTCCATAGCGCTTAACTTGAGTAAAAAATGACAGTAGAGGGTTTAGAAAAGATAACAAAAAGACAATTAAGAGCTACAAAGGAGAGGAAATTGTGGAGAGCCATGATCGTCAACGTCCTGAAGGGACAGGTCACATCAAAGAGGAAGACGATATCCAACTGTTTTCTAATAATACTTCGAAATGGCCTGCCCATTGCTAGCTAAATTTTTTTTCCCGGACACCTGTTTTTTTTCTCAAATATATTGTGCATTCTACTGACGACTTCTCGTCTGTGCTAAGAGCGCCGATTTTGCGCAGTTGGGCTCAAAGAAAAACCTGTCAACCTAAAAATCTTAAAACCTGGAGGCTTAGAGCTCAGACTTCAGAAAAACAGGGGGGGATTTTACAATAACAACAACAAAAATAAAAAAATAAATAAAATAAAAATAAAAAAAAAATGTAAGAAACAAGAATTTCAGAAACGTTAGCTCTAAAAGATCATTCTTTAAATTCCCAGCAGTTTTTTGTCATCGGCAATAAAGCCACTAAGACGCAGGGGTTTACTCTCAGAGAATACGAGAAAGAACAAAAATCACTATTAAGAAGGATGAACGATAAAAGAACAAGAATTGAAGGGACACGGAATATTTGAAGAAGAAATGAATAATATATTATTACCTTTCTTTTATAGCGATTAACTTGAGTAAATGGATGACAGAACCGGGTATAGTAGAGACAACAAAACGACAATTAATAGCTACACAGGACAGGAAATTGTGGAGAGCCATGATCGTCAACGTCCTAAACGAACACGTAACATAGAAGAAGTAATGAATAATATATTGTTACCTTTCTTCCATAGCGCTTAACTTGAGTAAAAAAAATGAAAGTACAGGGTTTAGGAAAGATAACAGAAGGACAATTAAGAGCTACAAAGGACAGGAAATTGTGGAGAGCCATGATCGTCAACGTCCTAAACGAACACGTAACATAGAAGAAGTAATGAATAATATATTGTTACCGTTCTTCCATAGCGCTTAACTTGAGTAAAAAAATGAAAGTACAGGGTTTAGGAAAGATAACAGAAGGACAATTAAGAGCTACAAAGGAGAGGAAATTGTGGAGAGCCATGATCGTCAACGTCCTAAACGAACACGTAACATAGAAGAAGTAATGAATAATATATTGTTACCTTTCTTCCATAGCGCTTAACTTGAGTAAAAAAAATGAAAGTACAGGGTTTAGGAAAGATAACAGAAGGACAATTAAGAGCTACAAAGGACAGAAATTGTGGAGAGCCATGATCGTCAACGTCCTAAACGAACACGTAACATAGAAGAAGTAATGAATAATATATTGTTACCGTTCTTCCATAGCGCTTAACTTGAGTAAAAAAATGAAAGTACAGGGTTTAGGAAAGATAACAGAAAGACAATTAAGAGCTACAAAGGAGAGGAAATTGTGGAGAGCCATGATCGTCAACGTCCTAAACGAACACGTAACATAGAAGAAGTAATGAATAATATATTGTTACCTTTCTTCCATAGCGCTTAACTTGAGTAAAAAATGAAAGTACAGGGTTTAGGAAAGAAAAAAAATTGAAAGGACAGGAAATTTTAGGAAACGTCCTAAACGAACACGTAACATAGAAGAAGTAAGAATAATAATTGTTACCTTTCTTCCATAGCGCTTTAAAAAAGAAAGTACAGGGTTTAGGATAACAGGTTTGACAGGATAAAGAAAGACAATTAAGAGCTACACAGGACAGGAAATTGTGGTGAGCCCTTGATCGCCAACTCCAAGAAAATAGTATTAATAGTACCCCGGTGTTTCCAATACATGTACAATAATACCTTTCTTCTACAGCGCTTAACTTGAGTAAATAAATGACGGAACAGGGTTTAGTACATATAACAAAAAGTCAAGAGCTATAATGGATACTAACCTCCAGGAAAAAGTTCTTGATCTAAGCTTTTCAATCTCATCGATTATATCGAGGTCATTGCTAAGTCTGCTCCTAGGAAAGTTGATTCTCTACAGAATGGGTAAATTGTCGTCATTTTATATTTTTAATTTCGCGCATGCGTGTTGTTTATTTTTTTTTTTTTTTTAGATTTTGTCGACTGCCCCGTATAATAGGGTCAGTTGGGCACCGTCTGTAGGGAAAAAGAGCAGCATGACGCAATTCACTCCGCTAGAAATTTAGAAACGGCATGCTGTACTGCTTGGCATTCGCACCGGAATCTCCAATACGAACATTTCAGGGTGTTTAGGTGTCAATCTGAGGACAGTGCAGAGGATTCGGTAAGAGTTGGATGAGTCTAATGGTGATTACGCAGGTGTTTGGAGTGATCACTCGTGATGGCGAAGTTATGCCTCCATACATCTTCCTACATAAGCAGACTCAACACGGAGGTCTGCATCAAGGTGATAGTGCTGTCCTGGGTGAAGAGGGTGCCTGCTGGAAGACCTTATGTCTGGCAACAGGGCTTTGCACCATGCCACACAAGCAGGAGAACCCAGTCATGGCTATCAGACAATTTCTGCGACTACATCGCCCATTGCATCTCCCCAGATTGCAACCACTTTGATTATTATGTGTGGGGCGCAGTTGAGCGAGAGACCCACAAAACACCTTGTAACGACAACATGAGTATGAGGAAGGTCGAAGAACATATCGCCCGGAGCATTATGCATGAACTATTATGAAAGCGCCTGATTCTCTGAATTTTAGAAAACGATTCGGTTTAATTCTAATTGAAGAATCAATTATGAATGGAATAAATATTGAATTAATATTTTTGTCTCTTTTGGCGCATGTGCAAGCGACTGTGTGTCGGGACGCATGCGCAGTCAGGTACTTAAAAGCAATCGGATTATTTATACTTTTTATATGTACGGACTCACATCTGTTGCTATCGATTTCACAGTAAAGGCGAGAGTTTGTCGCTCCAAAAATCTCCCACTGTTCTCTCTTCGTCTTTATTATTTAAGTTTCTCGATAAATTGGACGACATCTTGGATTTGAACGCGGCGTCCCCAACCATTACGCCTCCCAACACGCATGCGCAATGTCTTTTCCATCCCGCTGTGTCCCGACTCAGAACAGCTATTTCTTTATTGTCAGCTTCTAAGTGGACAAATTTGAAGTGTGTGCTTTAAGAATTGCTTTATGACATCTGCTATACATCAATTAAAGGTTTCAATAGTTATTTTGTTTGAAATCTTCATCTTTTTTTTTTCTTTTTTGCAAGCAAGATTATCTGGAGTAACCCGGGTCTCTTTTACAAAAATAAAGAAATAATATACTCAAACATTGATTTAACATGACACACGAATAATTTTTAAATTGACAATATAAACCATGATAACTTAATTACTGAAATAAATAATATATAAACAGAAGCCATTTTTATTTTATTTTAGGTCCCTTTAAATTTTTTAAAAAGGTTGACAGCAATATGTAAAACCATATCTTACAATACTTTATATTTTTTTAAATTCATAATCATTTATTCTCGAAGGTTCGCTTCTTTTTAACCATTTCACCCCGAGTAAGGCGATAAAGCCACTAAGACGCAAGATGAAATTATTTACTTTATTGAAAAATAAACTACATTAGGATTTACAAAAAACTGCCACATTTTGTTTTACATTTTCGTATTTCTTTACGATTTATTCAAAACTAATTAAAAAAACAAAACTGGTTCATATTTTACATAATGCTTTTTCGAATGTCTTATCTGAAGAAAATATTCACTAATCAAGGTTTTAATTTTTAATAAATTAGTGTTATTCGGTTATAAAAAAAAGGTTATATTTTTTCTGGTGTTGAGTTGTCTTGCTCCTGAGCTGTCTCAGTCCTGAGATGTCCCGGCACTCAGTCGGCGGTGTGGAGTCGGCGGTGTGGAGTCGGCGGTGTGGAGTCGGTGGTGTTGAGTCGGCGGTGTTGAGTTATTCCGCAACCGATTCCAGAAATATGTCATTTTGGAGATAAGTCTCCAAGAGAAACTAGAATGCAAAAATCACTTTTCTATCTTCTGTCTTCTTAATTCTTGTTCTTAATAGTGTTTTTTCTTCTTCTCATATTCTCTGATACTCAGTAAACCCTTGCGTCTTAGTGGCTTTATTGCCTTGCTATGAGTGACAAAAAAACTGCAGTGAATTTGAAGAATGATGTTTTAGAGATAACGTTTCTGAAATTCTTGTTTCCTCCATTTTTTTTGTAGGGTAATTTAACTATTCATACTGTTAACATTGTTCGGACTGTTGTCCTCATCTTTATTGCCACATTGACGACGTTTCGGCCGTTATACGCTCCGGCCTTCTTCATGAGATTGGAATTACGAAATGAACCCTTTATTCCGGTCATCGGGGTAGATTGTTCTAGTTCCACGTGTCATGCCTCTTCGGGATGTCTCAGTATCAGTTATCTCCCTTTTAACACCCACTCTCCAAGTTTTCGTTTACCTCTGCTGTAGCCAGGTATTGAAATCACAACTCTTTGGGTCAATACACTGGATTCAGCCAACTTTTTTATCTACTGGGCCATATGACCTCAAGACATTTGGAAGAGGCATCGCACGTGGAACTAGAACATGCTACCTCGGTGGACGAAATAAATTCCGTTGGAATTTTCAATCATCTGGCGAAGGCCGGAACGTACAATGGTCGAAATATCGGGAATGTGGCGACGAAGATGAAGACTCCGAACAATGTAAATAATTAAGAAAAGTATAGTGTAATATATATATATATATATATATATGTGTGTGTGTGTGTGTGTGTGTGTGTAAAATATATAGAAAATAGGAAAGAACTCGTTAGGTAAATAATCCAAAAGTTCTTTAGTATTTTTATTATTATTTTTAAAAAAGAGTGCTTGATACAAAAAGTAGAGTTTAAATATAATTATTTATTTAAAAATATGTTCAACACGCTAAAGAGTTCTCATATTTCAAAATAAGAGCCGAAAACTTCAATATAATTATTTGAATTAAATTGAATTAAAGTTAAGCTCGTTACTTTAATTCAATTTAATTCAAATAATTATATTGAAGTTTTCGGCTCTTGTTTTGAAACATGAGAACTCATGTATGTGTTGGAATCATATTTTTAAATAAATAAATATATATATATATATATATATATATATATATATATATATATATTATAGGGTGTCTATAAATTTCGTGTGCACTTTAAAAAATTTATAACTTTATTTGTATTTGCGATAGAAATAATCTGTAAAAAGATGTTATAAAACAGTGTTTCAACAAGATGGATCTCCTTGTCACTTTGCTCTGCGTGTTAGAGAGTTTCTAAATCAGGAATTTCCTTACAGATGGATCGGAAGGGGTGGACCATTTTTATTGGCCTCCACGTTCTCTAGATTTGACGACATTAGATTTTTTTTTATGGAGACATGTGAAAACAATTGTTTATGCAACGAAACCTAGTTCATTTAAAAGACTTGAAAGCTAAAATAACTAACGTGATTTCAGGCATTACTGTAAATAAGTTGGCAAATGTTTTCCGTGAATTGCAAAATCGTATTACCCTTTGTATTGCTAATGATGGAGAACATGTGGAAACTTAAATAAAATTTCAATAAAACCTTAAAAAATATAGATTTACTTCTTTCTAATCCTTTTTACCAATTATTTCTATCGCAAATACAAATAAAGTTATAAATTTTTTAAAGTGCACACGAACTTTATGGACACCCTATATATATAATATATATATATATATATATATATATATATATATATTACATGAATCATTCATACAAAAAACAGATACAGAAGTTAATGATATAAATGGCGAGAATACATCTTCGCAAACAAATTTAATAAAGTACATTAACCCCGAACCTGTAGATGAATGTTATGATACCTATTATTAACGTCTATATCTGTTTTTTGTATGAATGATTCATGTAATGTAAATTGAACTGCACCACATAGTTGATATATATATATATATATATATATATATATATATATATATACAAAATAGCAGTAATAAAAAACTTTCTAAACACAGCACACCAGAATTCATCCTCTCGACTACTCTTCCTCAAAGAACTTAATAACGTTAAACAAACGCTAATCAACAACGGCTACCCTAACCACATTATAGACCACCAAATTAGACTATTTCTCCTCAAAATAAGTAATAACGATAGTGAACACACAGACAAAAATCACATACACATTTATTACAAAAACCAAATGCATATTAATTACAAACAAGACGAATCTTCTCTAAGGTATATTATAAAAAAATATACTACCCGAATTGACCCGAATAAAAAAATCAAATTTATTATCTATTATAAAAAATTTAAGACAACCAACCTTATCCTCAAAAATAAGAACACACCAACTAAGTCAAAATTACAAAGAACGAACATTATCTATGAGTTCAAATGCCCCTTAAGGAACTTTGTTCCTGATCAAACCGGACTCATAAATAATTACATCGGTTACACAACCACATGCTTATCCAGACGTCTTACGTTACACCTATCTGATCACAGCTCCATTAGAACTTATTTAAACACACACACAAATTTATCAGACTTCATTAGGAACATACTAGTAGAAAACACAAAATATTAACTGCATCCATCTGCAAAAAAAGACTAAAAATAATGGAAGCTTTAATAATAAAAAGAAAAAGCCAACTCTTAACAATATTAACTAAGAACAAGGCCACAATGTGCTAACCGTATTCGGAAATTAAAAACATCCTAGCACACACTAAGACATACACAGAACGCACACACTCAATTAAGCTGAAAAATCGAATCATCCTTGATAATGGCTAAAGGTATAGTATAGTCTTGGAAATATAAAACATTTGGACAGTTCTTACACCCTTTGTCCAGAAAAGAAAGCTCTTGTCAGAACACAAGAAAAATGAAATAAAAGCTTTACCGTAGTACATTGTCTGTCGTTTTTAATGAAACATGCATATATATATATATATATATATATATATATATATATATATATATATATATATATATATATATATAGTGTAAATAATAAGTAAAAAAAAAAAAAAAGCCGGGATTTGAACTCAGTTTGCCGATTTTACTTTAATGACCCTGCACCGAACTCCTACCCCCACCCATGTTCTGATAAATTTTCTGATTAATTTCTAAATAATTTCGTAAGTACGACTATTGTTTTGTCGCCATCTTTCTTCAAATGCTATCTCCAATTCATTAGTTCCTGGTCTTTGGGGCATTCCAATTTCTTCATTGTCTTTGAAGTAAAAGAAAAAATCTTTTCCTGAAACTTTTAATAGCGAAAACAATCAGAAATAAAAGAAAATAAAAATCAGTCTTTTGTTTTCCTTTTTCAATTCTGCCGATTTACCTAAGGAGCCGAGCTAAATCTTCAAGTAATTCGTTTATGATACACACTCGTCTATAATACGCACCACTAACCCTTCGCTCCCAAAAAAAAAAAAATTCTCATATATAATACGCACCGGCGGATTTTTTTTTAGCATTTAAAAAAAATAGTATATTTAGGCAGCAGACCTTCGTTTAAACATGTTCCGTTAAACTGTTACGTCAAGGGTCGGCAACCTACGGCCAGCGGGCCGGATCCGGCCCGCGAAGGCATTTTGACCGGCCCGCGAGCCTGATTACCAATGACTCTATTTTTAACATGAGAGACGAGGCTTTCGAATTAGACTATCTGCCAGTTATCTCTCATGCGACTTATTTTACCAAGTTGCGTTGCCTACGTTTAATGTCAAATAATGGATACATATTTGTTATGACCCTTGGCTACATTAAAAGATAACAGAAGCGAAAGGAACGATAAAGTGAAAGAGGCCAGGGAGGGACTGACATGCGACGTAGCAGAAATCTAAAGACAGTTAAACATACGCGCATTATACATACATGCCTCATGAATGTGTGGATGATACCGCATGTGTACGTACGTAAGTGTATATGTTTGCAACTATTTGTACTCGTATGTATGGGTATATGTGCTTCGTTTTTGTTTGATGTGTGTGTGTGGTTCGTTTGTGGAACAATTTTCAATAACAGATTCAAACCTACACGTCATAATTTCATCCACTTCACTTCGGTTGATTTTTTTCACTTTGAAATATTTTGAGTTTGACGTTCCTTGAGGAAAAGTAATTTTTGTTCAGTGTTTTTTAATTTTAGATTTTCTTTTGTTTTTCTGATTTCTCAATGTTTATTTTCATTATGGTTTTAAATATTTAGGTTGACAGGGGGTCTGCATATGTAATTTTCCTTAATTTTTCATTAATGGCCTTCGTCCGGCCCGCGGACCCGTCATTATAACATGATCCGGCCCCGCGGGGTTGAATGAATTGCGGAACCCTGGGTTACGTGGATGCTGTTAACGGCACGATTGGAGGCCGAGTTCGAATTCAGGTCGACGTTCTTATATTCACTTTTACGCAAATACTCTTCAGAAAATAAACCAATGCAGTTCTTCTCTCCCTCACTCCGCCAGCTATGGTTTAAATGGCAGCGCAGATGTGACTCTAGCCGTGGTTGGCAATCAGTCTAGGAGAACAACGACCATCAGTCACATAATACCTCATCTCAGAAATATAGACAGATACCGAAGGACCGGAACATTGTAATAAATATGGCAACAAAGATGAGGACAATAGTCCGAATAATGTAAATAAAAAAATAATACCTCATCTCAGAAATATAGACAGATACTGAAGGGCCGAAACATTGTGATAAATATGGTAATAAAGATGAGGACAATAGTCCGAATAATGTAAATAGTGTACATAATACCTCATCTCAGAAATATAGACAGATACTGAAGGGCCGAAACATTGTGATAAATATGGTAATAAAGATGAGGACAATAGTCCGAATAATGTGTCTCAGTGTTATAATACCTCATCTCAGAAATATAGACAGATACTGAAGGGCCGAAACATTGTAATAAATATGGCGACACAGACGAGGACAATAGTCCGAATAATAACAAAATAGTACATAATACCTCATCTCAGAAATATAGACAGATACTGAAGGGCCGAAACATTGTAATAATTATGGCAACAAAGATGAGGACAATAGTCCGAATAATGTAAATAGTGTACATAATACCTCATCTCAGAAATATAGGCAGTTACTGAAGGGCCGAAACGTTGTAATAAATATGGCGACAAAGATGAGGACAATAGTCCGCATAATGTAAATAGTGTACATAATACCTCATCTCAGAAATATAGTCTGTTACTGAAGGGCCGAAACGTTGTAATAAATATGGCAACAAAGATGAAGATAATAGTCCGAATAATGTAAATAGTGTACATAATACCTCATCTCAGAAATATAGACAGATACTGAAGGGCCGAAACATTGTAATAAAATATGGCAACAAAAGATGAGGACAATAGTCCGAATAATGTAAAATAGTGTACATAATATTTCATCTCAGAAATATAGACAGATACTGAAGGGCCGAAACATTGTAATAAATATGGCAACAAAGATGAGGACAATAGCCCGAATAATGTAAATAGTGTACATAATACCTCATCTCAGAAATATAGACAGATACTGAAGGGCCAAAACATAATAAATATGGCAACAAAGATGAGGACAATAGTCCGAATAATGTAAATAGGTACATAATACCTCATCTCAGAAATATAGACAGATACTGAAGGGCCCGAAACATTGTAATAAATATGGCGACACAGACGAGGACAATAGTCCGAATAATGTAAATAGTGTACATAATACCTCATCTCAGAAATATAGACAGATACTGAAGGGCCGAAACATTGTAATAAATATGGCGACACAGACGAGGACAATAGTCCGAATAATGTAAATAGTGTACATAATACCTCATCTCAGAAATATAGACAGATACTGAAGGGCCGAAACATTGTAATAATTATATTTTAAAGATGAGGACAATAGTCCGAATAATTTAAATTTTGTTGATAATACCTCATCTCAGAAATATAGACAGTTACTGAAGGGCCGAAACGTTGTAATAAATATGGCGACAAAGATGAGGACAATAGTCCGCATAATGTAAATAGTGTACATAATACCTCATCTCAGAAATATAGACAGTTACTGAAGGGCCGAAACGTTGTAATAAATATGGCAACAAAGATGAAGATAATAGTCCGAATAATGTAAATAGTGTACATAATACCTCATCTCATAAATATAGACAGATACTGAAGGGCCGAAACCTTGTGATAAATATGGTGACAAAGATGAGGACAATAGTCCCAATAATGTAAATAGTGTACATAATACCTCATCGCAGAAATATAGACAGATACTGAAGGGCGGAAACGTTGTGATAAATATGGCGACAAAGATGAGGACAATAGTTCGAATAATGCAAATAGTGTACATAATACCTCATCTCAGAAATATAGACAGATACTGAAGGGCCGAAACATTGTAATAAATATGGCAACAAAGATGAGGACCATAGTCCGAATAATGTAAATAGTGTACATAATACCTCATCTCAGAAATATAGACAGATACTGAAGGGCCGAAACATTGTAATAAATATGGCAACAAAGATGAGGACAATAGTCCGAATAATGTAAATAGTGTACATAATACCTCATCTCAGAAATATAGACAGAAAGACGAATTTTTCATATAATATTTAAAAAAACCGACGTATCTTCGAAAATGACTTAACTCCAAACAAGTTTAGCTGAGGTATCACTGTATTCTGAGGTTAATGCAAAATAAAATAAAATAAAAATAAAATAAAATAAAAAATAAATAAATAAATAAAATTAATGTATATATATATATATATATATATATATATATATATATATATATATATATATATATAAAAAGAAAGAAATGTAAAATTCTCTTAAGGCTGTCCGGGTACATTTATAGGTTTTATGTAACTCCGGAACTTGTGGGAAATCTAATTAACCAAAATAAATTTACCAATTCGCAGGAATTCAACTATTGGCCAATTAAGAGCGGCCTTTTTTTTTTTTTCTTTTTTCTTTTTTCTTTTCTTTCTTGTTCTGAAAACCCTCTGGGTTGCTTTTGGACCATTCCATGGAACATCGCCATGAATCCAGATCTGTAAAAGTAAATCAATTTTTCAGAAAAGCCATGTTTAATTTCGAAGTAGCTTTTATTTTATTTTATTTTATTTTATTTTTTATTTATTTTTTTGTTATTCACCGATGTGCATCGGAATGAAATGAACTGATATACACACTTAATGATAAATACGTTGCCAACTCTTGGAGGGGGGGGGACAAAGAAACTCTTTCATCGCATAGAATAGAACATTTTCGCTTCGTTTCAACGATTCGATATGCAAAAACCAATCAATGGATTTCGACATATCCTCATATTGACACGAACCAATTAATTTGTGCAACAGTTGCTAAACTCTCCTCCTCTTCCTCCTTCTCCTCCTCCTTCTCATCATCTTCCTCCTCCTTCCATTCTTCTTCTACTCCTTCTTAGGCTCCTCCTTCTTCTTCTTCTTCTTGTTCTTATTCACCTCCTTCTTTTTCTTTGTCTTCTCCTTCCTCTTTATTCGTCTTCTCCTTATTCGTCCCCTCCTCCTCCTTCTTCCGTTTCTCCTCATCCTCCTTCTTTACTTTCTCCTCCTTCTTCTTCTTCTTCTTCTCGTTCTTCTTCTCACCTCCTCCTCTTCTACCTCGTTTTTTCTTCTTCTTCTTCTTCTTCGTCTTCCTCACCACCTTCCCCTCTCTCTTCTTCTTCTTCTTCTTCTGTCCTGCCTTCTCTTTCGTCCTCTCTTACTCCCCATCCTTCTTCTACACTGCATTCTCCTGCTTCCTCTTCTCCTCCTCCTTCTCTTTCTTCTTCTTTTTCTTAGGGCACTCATCTTCCTCCCCTTCCTCCTTCTCCTTCTTAGTCACCAGCTTTGTCTTCTTCTACTTCGCCTTCTCCTTCTTCCTTTCCTCCTCCTCCTTTTCTCCTTCGCCTCCTCCTCCTTTTTTCTTCTTCTTCTCCTCCTTCCTCTTCGTCTCCTCCTTCCCACTCTCTTCTTCTTCTCCTCCTCCTCCTCCTCATACTGCTGCTTCTACTTCTTAGGCTCCTCATCTTCCTTCTCCTTCTTCTCGTTCTTAGTCACCTCCTTTGTCTTCTTCTACTTCGCCTCCTCCTTATTCGTCCCCTCCTTCCTTTCCTCCTCCTCCTTTTCTTCTTCTACTTCTTCTTCTTTTTCTTCTGTCCTGCCTTCTCTTTCGTCCTCTCTTACACCCCCTCCTTCTTCTACACTGCATTCTCCTGCTTCTCCTCCTCCTCTTTCTTCTTCTTCTTCTTCTTCTTAAGCTCCTCATCTTCCTGCCCCTCCTCCTCCTTGTTCTTAGTCACCTCCTTTGTCTTCTTCTACTTCGCCTCCTCCTTTTTCTTCTCCTCCTCCTTTTTTTCTTCTTCTTCTCATCCTCCCTCTTCGTCTCCTCCTTCCCACTCTCTTCTTCTCCTCCTCCTCCTCCTCCTACTGCTGCTTCTACTTCTTAGACTCCTCATCTACCTCCCCCTCCTTCTTCTCGCTCTTAGTCAACTCCTTTGTCTTCTTCTACTTCGCCTCCTCCTTATTCGTCCCCTCCTTCTTCCTTTCCTCCTCCTCCTCCTCCTTCTTCTCATCCTCCTTTTTTCTTCTGCTCATCCTCCCTCTTCGTCTTCGTCACCTCCTTCCACCTCTCCTCCTCTTCTTCTTCTCTTCCCCCTCCTCCTACTGCTGCTTCTACATCTTAGGCTCCTCATCTTCCCCCTCCTCCTTCTTCTAATTCTTAATTACCTCCTCCTTCTTCTTTGCCTTCTTCTATTTCCCGTCCACCTTATTCATTCCCTTCTTCTCCTTCTTCCTTTCCTCCTCCTCCTCCTTCTTCACCTCCTTCTTCTTTTTCTTTCTACTTCGTCTCCTCCTCCTCCTTCTTAGTCTCCTCAGCCTTCTTCTTCTTCTTCTTCTTCTTCTTCTTCGTGTCGTGACTCTTCAGAACGTTTTTCTATTAACATTCTCCTTGTACAAGGCCCAAGAGCCATTCAAGGTAGAGACTTTCTAAAAAAAATGTTTTTACCCCAAGCAAGGCAATATAGCCGCTAAGACGCAAGTGGTTACTGACTGTTACAGAATATGATAAACATATACTATTAGGGAGAGAAGCCAACAAAAGAAAACGAACCAAGAAAGCAGTAGATAACGATTGACATCGAATATAATTTTTTGATGATCAACAAAGAAGCAAGAAGCCGGAAGAGAATTTTTCAAGCGAGAGGTGAGATAGAAGAAACTGTTGGCATAGAACTTACGGCTGTTTCAACTGTAAAATGATGAGACCTTATTGCCAATCAAGTACTGCGTTCAAATTCATAAAGTCTAGGTACCATTGTGGAAAGTTCATAAGAACAATTACCATGAAAGTATTTATAGAAAAGGCACAGGGAAGCCAGATTATGGTGGTGGGAAACTCATATCTATTCGTTGGTACCTAGAAACCTAAATATATGTTTTATCATTTCACCTTAATCAAGGCAATAAAGCCACTAAGAAACAAGGGGTTACTGATTGTTAGAGAATATGAGAAAAAATATAGTGTTAAGGAGAGCGGGGGGCAATAAAAGGACAAAAATTAAGAAGATAACGATTGACATTGCCTTTAAATCTTAGAAAATCAAACATGAGCGGGGAAGCAAGAAGCCAGAAGAGACTTTTGCACGCGAGGATTGCGACTGAAGAAACGTTTGGCATAGAACTTCAACTGTAAAAGGATGAGACCTAGCCGCCCATCTAGTACTGCGCTTAAATTCATAAAGCCTATGTAGCTTAGACGAAAGTTCATCAAAAGCATTTGTATATATATATATATATATATATATATAAAGCACCGGGAAGATATGTTACGGCCGTGAGAAAGTGACTGAAGCCGAGATGCCAGGTCAGAACCAATAACATTGCAGATTCTTCTTTGGATTTTATCAAGAATCTCTAGCAGAGGCACATGACCAGATGTGGCGGCAATATTCAAAGTAAGGACGAATAATAGACTTATAAATAAGAACCAACTTTCCAAGCTGAAGATTTATTAATTGGTTCTATATAATATTTCCATTTCATATCAGCGGAAAACTTTAGTCCGAGAGGGCGCCTATGGTATAAGGTTGATTGTAGTGATCGTGGAAGCATCCTCTTGGGAGCTGGCTTCACAAAGCAGCAGTACGTGGGAAGGTGCTGCTCGAGTGGAAGTTACATATCACCATAAGAATACGAAGGGAATGAAGATTGTTCGCTACAATGTGCGTAGCATGGCGCGTCGTAGTCGAAAAAGTTAGAACTGGTGGAACTAAGGGCCGTAGTTCGTCTGAGCACTTTCCATGGAAATAGCGAGAGAGCAGTGAGAGGATTGCGACGTTTCGTCGTTTCGTCGTGTATTGTGGGCTGGAACGTAATTCATCACGCGCAAAGACGCGGAAACGCTTTTGGAATCTATGAAGACTGGAAAACGAAGACTCGGCGGCCCCTGCCCATATACGACAGCAGCACTCCATTTCGGTCCTGATCTGGCTCTTTTAAAGGTAGCAGAGAGCGGGAGGAGTCAGGTACTTACTGGAGCGGTATAGGGAACTGACCATTTTTCCAGCGTCTTTAGCGGTGAATTGTAAGAAAAAGTTCCTCTTGAGGTCTGGGCTGAGCTTAAATCCAAAGAGGCGCTCAAGGGACGAGTCCCTCGTGAGATAACAGTCGTTCATACAGATAGGCGAAAATTCAGAGTCTGCTCGGTGAAAAAGGTTGCTAGTCTGGTTTTCGAGTATTAACGTGGGTGATCATGGCTCCCCACAATTTCCCTTCCTTTGTAGCTCTTAGTCGGGTTTGCCTTGTTGCTATCTCTCCTCAACCCTGTTCTGCCAAACATTTAGACAAGTGCTCCATGTATAGGGTTGGTGTTGAAACTTGACTAATGCATGGAATAATAATGCAACACAAAAGGTACTTAGAACAAAATGTATTAAAACAAGAAATTGTACACAATATATACATATAGTCTTTTGTATATTCCTGGTAAGACCGTTCCTGGAGAATGTGTTGACTGAGTCGCAGTCGGGCAGAGTCTCAGGTTGAATCTTGATTCCTCCTCTCCCGGTACCAACCATATTTATATGGTCGGTACTGCACTATGCAAATTAGGTGGATCCTACCACAACAGTTGGCAACTAAGTTCCCGCCGTTTTTTTTTTTTTTTTTTAAATTTTGGAATCTATTTTTTTTTTCGAGAATTCTATTTTGGAATCATTTTGTAAACTAATTTTTTTTTCGAGTTAATTTTATTTCTGCTTACTTTATTAAAATGGAATGTCAAGTTAAGAAAAATGAGCATTTTCGACACCTCCTTCTTTTTGCATTTAATTAAGGTTCTAAGGCCGCAAAAGCTGCCCGCAAAATTGGTGCTCTGCATGGAGAGGATGCCGTAGCTGAAAGAACGGTTCGTGATCGATATGCCATATTCAAAAATGGAAATTTTGACCTCAAAGACACACTTCGTTCGAGCCGTCCAGTTGAGTTCGATGAAGAACGATTAAACCAACTTTTGCACGAAAATTCGCGTCAAACGACAGGGGAATTGGCAGAGAAATCATCTTCGCTCGATGGGAAAGGCTCAGAAGTGTGGAGTATGGATTAAGTGACAATAACAAAAATCAATGAGCCACAATCTCCGCTGGTTTGCTTGCTCGTCACCGCTCAACCCATGGACAACAAACAATGATTTCTTTACTGAATCGTTACCGGCGACGAAAAATTGGTGCCTGTACATCAATATGTAGCAGCGCAAGGAATGGCTTAGCCTCGGCAAATAAGCGACACCGCTCGCGAAACAAGATCTTCATCCGCGTAAAACGATGTTGTGCCTATGGTGGGACTGGGAAGAGATTATCCATTACGAATTGCTTAAATGGTGTTACAGTTTTTTTTTGTGTATATATGTACATAACTAGTGAGCGAGTCAAAATGACTTAATTCCCTTTATAGTCTACCAATAGAAGATTAACCAATCAGAAGCCGCAGAACACTGTATCCGTCGTGTATAAAGGCGGCCATCTTTGTTTACCCTACCGGAATGACCAGAGCCAACATGTCAGGCGAACACGACAGAAGGAAGAACTACGCTCTGCTATTTTGCTGCGATATCCACTGCTAACCTGAACAACGCTTTCCTACTGTCTCCGAAATATTCACTGTTAACCTCTGGATTCTATACTCGAAGACGACCATCATGAATTTGTAACAAATGGAACCAGAAAATCAACGCGGAACTCTATGTTCAATAAATAGAACGACTCAACACGTCTATTCAAGAGAAAAAGACCTAATCGGCAGCATGGAGTTTTTTTTTTTTTTGCTGCACGACAACACCCGCCTTAAATATGACCAAGGAAGCCATTGAGACGCATGGCTGGGAAGTGCTGCCACACCCGCCACACTCTCCCGATTTGGAACCAACGGATTTCAACCTCTTTCGATCATTTCTAACGGTAAGCGCAGAGTTTTTTTTTCAATACTTATGCAGAATTGAGAGCTTGGTTGGATGAATTTTTCGAGTCGAAACAGGGTGATTTCTAACAACGAGTTATTGAAAATCTTTGCTGAACGTTTGGAAGCAGTTATAAACATCAAGGGAGTATACATTATTGTTTAATTAGTCGTTATTTTTTTTTATTAAACCGTTTAAAAAAATTTAAATTAAAAAAAAAAAAGCGGGAACTTAGTTGCCAACCCAATATTTTATATGTTGTTTTCCCATGTCCTTCTTGATATCAATCTGTCCTGTGAGTTTAAATTTTCGAAGCTTTCTTTCCTCATAATGTGCTCTGGAAGTTTCCGCACTTCCTGATGTTAAGTGTAATTGTCTTTTTTTGTTTGCATTTTCTCTAAGAATTTGTCGTTGGTCACGTGTTCAGCTGATAATATTCTCAGCATCCTTCTGTAGAACCACATTTCTTTTGCCTCAAGTGTCTTCTTCATCTGTGAGTAGATTGTCCAGCATTCACTGCAATATAGGAGGACAGATATTACGGCTCAGTAATCTGTTTCGAACGACATTTTCCTGTTTCTTGATACTTTTCTTAGGTTCTGGAAGGCATTTTTCGCTATATTTTTGTGTCGTATTTCCCGTCCTTTGATAAAACATTTCCTAGATACTTAAATTCTTATAGTTGAAGATTAAAATCATTGTAGAAATGACGGTAGCTCAGCGGTTATCGACTCGAAAAATAGAATCGCCGTGACGAGTTCGAATTCTGGTCGGGTTCGTTATGTGCATTTACGCGCAAATAC